ATTTCCTTTTAACCATTAAAATACAGACAAAGATTAATAAATTTGCAGTTGGTTGAAAACCATTTTATAGACAAATCTAGGCTATATGCTGCTAATATCTGCTGATAACTTCCATATAAAATTCTCTTTACATTGTTTTGAATCTTTCCAAAACAGACCATTCAAAACGTAAAAATATTAACATGTTCTGTCAATCTGTAGAAAAATAACTTAATTTACATTACTCATAGTTTCTCATGCATATTAATAGTTTATAAACTATTATTACAATAATGTCTCCTGAATGCAATACTTTAAAGGGAACATCTGCACGTTAATAACAGCAATGCTCTTAAAAGTGGCAAGGAAAAAATGACAAGGAACATATTATTTCTGCTTGTTTACTGCTAAGGTCCCCTGTACAAATTACATTTAATACATTAAATCAAGCCATAAACTGCAATGGTGCCAAAGTGTCACCCAATTTAAGGCAGCATAAAATAGCAAGCTAGCTACAAAGATGAAAACATCTTTGTGGCTGGTTTGTATGGCACCTTAAACTGAGTGTGTGGCAGGTGAACTTACCAGGTCTATCTGGGGCTTTATGCCAACAATCAGTTGATTGTCAGAATCACCCTCTAGTCTCCAGTCAGCCTGGTGCTGACAATCAGCTGATTGTTGGCACCAGCCCCCCAAGGTAGCCATAGGTCTCCAACTAGGCCTGAGGCTGTTCCCACCCCAGCCCACTGGCACAAAGGAATTTAAAGCCCTATACCCAACAGTTTAGCTGGGGCTGCTGGCTGCGTGGAGTAAAAAAAAAAAAAAAAAGGTGGGTAGAGCCAAGGAGCTCCCTGCACTGGGAAGTTTAAACACCTCTGCCCAGCAGGACATGAAGTTATTGGGATCACAGATCAGATCCCATCACGTGATTACTTTAATGTCTGCCAAGGGCCTAACTGTCCCCGCTGGAAAGAGGTGACCTTGTAAAACACCAAGCACACATAATACCCTGGATTCCCTGGAACATCTGAAGCTGAGAGACTTGGATTATCTACTTCATGAATTCACTTCTTCCAAGTACTGGAAGAAAAACTGGCTATTAAGAGGGTCTTGAAATAAAAGCATGTGTGGTCAGATGAACAGTGCAGTGTATATATTGAGAGCAGCATGACAAAATGCACAGACTAGTTAGTAGAAGCAGTTAAATGAGACATGGTGAGTGATAAAAAGTGGATGTAGACACAGAGCAGGAAACCCTGTACAAAATCTAGATAAGGAAAAGTCAAAGAGCTTTGAAGAAAAAGGAAGGTCAGAGATGAGCTGAGACTTCAAAGATGGTATGAAACAGTCAGATTGATAGTCCAACAAATTATTGTGACAGCCATATTCTTTATAGAATGAGGGTGGGGAGGGTGTTATGATGCAACTAAGCCTGGAGTGGAGATTACTTTGGTAATTGAGATATCCAGGTCTAAGTTTTCTCTATGATGTGGATAAAACTGGCAAGGTCTGGATGCAACTTGTGTGTTAGGGGAGAATTAGAAAGAAACACTGAAGAGGACTCTTAGATATTAGCTTTGACAGATGATAATACATTATCAACAAAATTAGTAAGTTGGGTAGAGTAAAGAGTGCAGGAAGATAAACATTAAATTAAATATTCATCATAAAAATCCTGAACTGTTGGCAAGTCCTTAAGAAAGCAATATCAAGAGGCAGGCTGAGGTGCACATCTCTATACAGCAGTACTGTTCAACCTCTGTGGCCCCACAGGCCAGATGAGTGATGCCCTTTGGGGTCAGTCCACAGGGCAGATTCTGCATGAAGTCAGCATGCAAAAAATCAATGCGTGCACACCCTGTGTGGTGCATGTAGACCCTTGTGTGCTAGATCTGGCTGTGGAGCAACCAAGGACCAGCACGATCTGCTGCACAGGCTCCCCACAGGGGAATGATGGCAGGGTTAACTGCCATGGCTCTAGGAGCAATTACTACTGCTACCACTCCCCCAGTGCCAAATTTCCAGACCAGCTGGGAGCCGCATGGGGCAGATGACATACCTTCACAGGTCTAAGCACCATTGCTATAAAGCAGGCTTGTCCAACATACGACCCACGGGCCACCAAAGCATTTTCTGTGGCCCGCAGTGCTGCGATGGGAAATGAAAGTAAACACTGTTTACTTTCATTCCCTCCCCTTGTCCCCCCCCAGCCCCTCAGCAGCTTCCTAATGGCTCCTGAAGGGCTAGGGAAGGGACAAGGTTCCCATATGCAATTAGCACGGTGCAGCCCGGCCGGTTCCCTCGCGGGGCTGGACCGCCCCCCCCAGCCGGGGGTGGCGCTGGCTGCAGCTGCTGAGTGGCCCCACCCGCCAGCCCCAAGGAGCCGGTGCCCGCCCAGGTGGCCGCAGCCAGTGCTGTGGGCTCGGGGCAGGTGCTGGATGGAGCCTTCATGTAAGAACTTTGCCGCCAGGTGGCAGAGAAGCGGCTCCACTTGCGGGCCCAGGTCATGCTGATCGCTGGCAGGGAGGATGTGCATCTAGGAGCGCCCGTGCTCCTGCCCCCGCCTCCCTGCCCCGCCATGAGCCCGTGCCCACGCCCTGCGCTGCCGGAGTGGCCCCGCGTGGGAAGCCCAGCAGCGGCCACCCCCCCCCCCCTCCACCCTACCCCACCTGTTTCAAGCCAGCCCCGCTGCCCTGCCCCACAGCAAGGTGACACTTGCTCCCCCGGCCAGTCTCCCCCTGGGTGCTGCGGCTCTCTGGGCCCAGCCACCAACGTGTGAGGCCCCGAGCCCCGAAGGGGCCGCCTCTCATATGCTGCTGGGGACGGGAGGCGGCGCAGGCACATGCGGCCACCAGGGCAGCAAGGTGGGCAGCGGTGGAGTGGAGGGCGCCTTTCTTGCACATCTCAGGGAGGCTGTGGCCAGGAGGACAAGGAGGAGCCTGGACTGAGGCTCCCGCGCGTGGCAACAGCTCTCCCCACCCCGCTCTGTGCCCAGCTGAGCCGCAAGTCTCTATCGCAGCCTCTCAGATGCACTGAGGAGCCCCCGCTCTCTCCTCCCTCCTCTCCCACCTGCTCCTAGCAAGGCAGTGAGCGGCAGAGGCTGCAAAGCATCGCGCAGGTGGCTCCCGCTGGGACACATCCCTCTCCACCTTTGATTAGTTTCCACTCTGGCTGATATCTTTTCCACATTTGATCTGTCAACTTGCATTATGCGACAGTGTTTATTTTAGTCAAGTGTTTGGTATTATTTCATTGCTGCTTTTTTATTGTTTTTATTTTGGATTTTAAACCACATTTCCAGGCCCATTTCATTGTCACTTCCTGCAACTTCATTGGTGTCAAAGGTCATGTGACATCACTTCCTGATGTGATACCGCTTCCCATGAGGCCTTTGAATATGGCTTGCTGACCCACTGGGTGATAAAAAGTTCATGATCTGGCCCCACGTTAAAAAAGGTTGGACACCTGTGCTATAGAGAAACCTACTCAGAAGTGGACAAGAGGATTTTTAAGCCATTAGCACACAAAAAAACCCCCAAGAGTTAAACTGGTACGGTTGGAAATAAGTCACTCAGACACATGAAAGATCAAGACCTTGAATTCTACAGGAACCTCACCATGAGGGGTAATGAAAAATTGCCAAAGTAGCACTGAAAAAAACAAATGTAAGTGAAAGTACAAAGGGAGACAGAATGAAAAGGCAGGGATAGTGATAAAAGCAATTAAGAGGTTAAGAAAAAAAGTAAGAAGGGGGTAAAAGATAGAGTAGATCTGGTCAGGAGCAGTTCATGTGAGATTTCACTGTAATTTCATTCAAAAGTCAAGAAGACAGAAACTAAAAAAAAAAAAAAGAGGAAACGGATTCTCTTTTATATAATGTTCTTCACAGATAATATCTAATTTTTCAGCTTTGATTACAAAATAAAAAGAAGTTTTAAGAGAACACTCAAAAAATGAGAGAGAGAGAGAGAAAGGATTTCAAACAGAACAGCATAAAGTATAAAAGCAACCTCTCTCTGAAGAAAATCATGAGAAGTTCAACAAAAAGGTAAATCAAAAGTTTTGAAGAGCAACAAACTATTGTTAAAGTATGTAAATTACTTGGTACTATCATTAAATACAGTTGGAAGTTAAAAACGTAAAATATTAAGCTTATTAATATGCATAAACAATGCATGAATGAATGAATACATGGCCTTCAGTCTTATAATAGGCTGAGACCATTTATACGTATAAATGAATGAATAAATTTTCAAGAACGATCAGCATTCTTATCAGCTTCCTGCATTCTAAAGCTGGCTTATCATTCTGTTGATTAATTCTTCATCTAACAACCTATAATTCTAGTTGCTGTTTTACTATTTAAGGACCAGAGTTTAAATTAGGCATTCAGGGGAGTGCCAGATGCTGAACATCTCTCAAAATGTTACTACTTCATCCAAATGCCTGAAGGAAAAAAAACTTACAAATATCTGGCCAGACATCCAATAGAGAAATACATTATTTATATAGATAAGCCATGGCCAAATCCAAATTGTTTTGAGCCACCCTCCCAGCCTCCACCTTTTTAGTAGCTTCTAGTCCATGCTTCCCCAACAGTCAACTCTAGGCAGTTATTCAGAATCAGAGGATGGGAAAACAAAAGCACCTTATTAGTTCATAAAATAGCCCCTAACTTTAAATTAAAAAAACAAAAAACACAACAACAGTAAATGCATCCAAATTAAAATTCACTAGAAAATATTGTTTTAGAAAGTCACCCTAACAGGGATTTAGGCTTCAATTCTGGGCACTTATGCATGTTTGCACATCTACTTGTCCACCACCCACACATGCTTATCTTTAAAGCTTTTGAGTAGCCAGGGCTGTGGGTTGCACTGGTGCAAGAATATATAAAATTCAGGTGCAAGACAGTCACTTTCAAAAAGGAACTTGTACTGCACACACAACACTAGTTTGATTGCAGTACCTTAAATACCTAAGTAAGTATCAAGTAGCTTAAGAAGAGCAAGGATCCTCACCAAAATCTGCAAACACCGATTGTCCAATAATCATCATATCTTCAGGTTTTTTCTTTGTTTTAGTGACTTCGGAGAAATTCCCATCCTGTCAAATATAATAAACATACACTATGAAAAGCTACATTAATGGAGTATAAATAAGTCAATGAAAGTTTACATTGTGAACTGGAGATAAGAAGCGACTTAAAAAAAAATAGAGAAGTAGTTGATAAAATACAACTTTAAACAGAGCAACGCTATTATTTAGACACTCTGGGCCTTCTAAACAGTTGTGCGCACACACACACACTCAATGAAATCAGACTTAATTCATGAATAAGAGACCACATATTTGGAGTTGCTTGTAGGAAAAGAATTATTTTACTGGTAAACTCTTATATACCAAGGTGAAGCTTCTAGTTTAATGAAGCTGCTTTAGTAAGGCAGAAGTTACCTTTCAGAATATTCTTATTATATTATACCACCAACCAGGGGGCTTGTTTCATTCCCATGCATCACATGAAATTATGATACATTATATGAAACATGATCCTGTGGAACGGCAAATATCTTTCCCATCATACTGAAACAAAGTGGAGAAACTAGCTATACCACAGGCCTCAGATGCTGAGCAAGTGTTTAAAAGGCAAGTTTGTTTAACCAACTAAACAGACTAGAGGCCCAAACACTTCAATCAGATCACTGAGAATTCTGAACACGAGTGCTTATCCATTAACTCAGAGTGCTGTCATAAACTGTTTCCAGACTGTATTACCACTTATTTGCGCATTTGTGTGGTTAACTTTTCTTTGTATTTTTCTTTTGTTTATAAATAAAATAAAGGTAACTTAGTAAACTGCCATATGGTTTTTAATTTTCTTAGAACAACATCCTTCCTGAGCGGTATTTCATGTTTAAACCATAATTTTATACAGTATTCTAACATTCAATTTTTCTGTATTTCTGACAAGCACCTGTTCAGCAGAGGTAATTACAACTCTGCAGATAAGTTTATAGTCTTTCCATGTTGACCAATGCTTCTATTACATATGCAAATTTTAATTTTAGAGATTACTTATGTCAAACAGCAAAACTCTAAAATTATTTTTTACTGATGTGGTCACTAAAAAACCTGCAATTAGGCCTCAGATTATGCAAGTAAGTGCATGTTATAAATGGCAAAGAAACTAAACTATTGTAGTTAATGTAAAATCCATTGTCATGCACTTTCTTCTCTAGCATGCCACTCCATTTCCTACAGCTAGAGTTAGCATTTCAGCAACGTACAAGTACATGAAACTCATCATTCTATAACAAATGTTTCATATAAACATAATTCTGTGCACTCTTCAGACCTCTTAACAGCTTTTTTCCTGTGCTCCCTCCCCAGTCAACCTCTCAAGTTGGCTTTCTACACCTAAGACACGGTTCTTCTTTTCCTGCAGGTACTGTCAGGTCCCCTAGTATTTTCTGGTGACACTCACTGCCTCTTAAGCTGCTGCTGACAGGTTCACATGTTCTGGATTGAAGGCATGACTTTTGTATGATTTTAAATATTTTATTTAAAATTTTAAGAAGGCCATAAAAAGCCATTTCTATTTACATTTATTACCCACAGAATTTACGAACTACGTGCTTTTTAATAACTGGTATTAATTTTCTTGGGAGGTGGCATCTATTAGGGCTGTGTGAAACAGCTGTGTTTTGATTCGGTTTTGGATTTGGCTGTTTTGGAGGACAGCGATTCATTTCAGTGTTTCAGATCGTGGTCCTGTTTCGTTTCGGCTGAATCTGTTTCAAATGGGCTGTAAGGCAAGCTTCGCACAGCCCTACCCAGCTGGGCGGGGCTTGGGGCCCCAGCAGGGAGCAGGATGGGGCCGTGGGTGGCACATGCAGGTGAGGAGATGCCGGTGTGGATCTCTGATCCCTGTCACACTGGGTTGCGGGGCAGGGAAGCAGTGCAGAGCGGCGAGCAAGCCTGCTGGTTCCTGCCGTGCAACTCAGCTCCCCAGGGAACAGAGATCTGCGCTGGGGTCTCCTCGTTGCTGCTGCCAGCCCCGTGCAAGGTACTTGACACGCAAACTTGCATGGTTTGTACTCATTAAAAGATACTTTAATATATATAATAAATTTAACTGCAAATATCCTCTTACTCTCAAGTTTTCCCAAGGTTGAGGAAGAGTAACTAGTTTACTTATGGCAAAGATTTTAATAAAAACCTTAGTTATCAGCTTTAATTATATATTAAATATGAGAAATATTCCCATTTCTGAATGATCTTAATGCCAAACAACCATTTGTTGCACTACAGAATGTATTATTTAACATAGATAGTGTGTTTTAGTCTTCTTGAGTCATCCACAATGGATGTTCGTTTGGTCAGGTTGGGACAGGATTTCATTTCTGCATTTGTAACTTAAATACAGCCTATTTCTTGTTCAAAGTTTTGCAGTCTGTAAATTATTCAAGTTCACAAATGAATCAGAAGTGGCTACTGTATGAATAAAATTGAGAACCAATGCCTTGCTTGACTGAATCTTACCAGGAAAACCATAGTGTTCTTTCAAACAAAAATGAATGTATTACACAAAACAGAATCTAGTGTGCAGAAACATAAATCTCTCTTGGAAATCAAGTAACTATTACAGTTTTTTTAATGCATTGATATGTAGTCAAAGTTTCAAGAAAAAAATCCCTTATTTTTATATCTATCAAATATCTGTGTGTGTTTTTATATCTATCAAATATATTCCTTATTCTACATAAGGGGAAAAAATTGTTAACAAACAAGGATGCAGTTGTGGATAGTCACATGGCTGCAGATGTAGTTAGGAAGTCTTCCTTGTCTGCTTAGATCTGCTGCAGCAGCTGTACAGGGAACTGTTCCAACTGCTGGCTGAAGTGTGAGGGCCAGAGTTATGGCTGGTACTGAAGCTATTTTTGGATTCGTATGGACCCTGGTAAAATAAGTGCAGCCTTACAGCAGGCCTTTCCACCTAACTTAGAAGGAGAGCCCAGGGAGACAGTCCATAATATGAGGTCTATGCTATCAAAGAATTTGATCACCAGGGATCCTGGCTTTCTCTGTTTAAAAATCCCAAATTCTCTGATGGAAAATACAGATTTTGGGGGTTTCAATGATGAAAATATCTATATCTATCTCAGCTTACTGGAGCTGCTCATCACCCCAAAGCAGCAGTGGGGACAGCTACAGCTGGACCCACTTCCTAGTGAGTGAAGGGGTCAGAGGGAGCTCTGATTTTTCTGTGATAAAAAAACCCAAAATCAAACGCCAAAGTATACAGGCATTTAGCATTTATTTTATTATAATGATTGAGGCACTGAGGGACTTTCAGATGACTTTAGAGTTGTAAATATATCAATAAAACATTGTGTTCAACTGACATAGATATCTATCTATAGATAGCTAGCTAGATAGATATAATAAAATAAATTCAAGACACCTACATATTTTGGCATTTGATTTGGGTTTTTTTTTTAATCATGGAAAAAAAATCAGAGCTCCCCCTGACCCCTTCACTCACTAGGAAATGGGTCCAGCTGTGGCTGTCCCCACTGCTGCTTTGGGGCAATGAGCAGCCCCAATATGCCAGTGCCCTACCCCTGTCCATCCCGATACCCCTCGCTCCTGACCCACTGCCCCCCATTCCCAACTCCCCTGTGTGTGGAGTGGAGGCCAGGGCAGGGGTATTCAATCAGAAGTAATGTCATAGACTATATGTTGGGGGGAGGGGACACATTTCTCCCTGGATTTCTACTCCACAGCAGGCATGGGGCTTCAGCTTGACTGGACTGGCACGGGTAGGAGCCGAATCTGTAGCCCAGAGGGTAGGACCCAGCACCAGAGAGCATAGCAGGGCAGTGAGATGCGCTGCTGCCACCACCTGGACCCCATGTGCCAACTGCACCACCAGCAGTGCAAGGAGTAATGGATGGGGTGAGGGAACATTAAACTCATCTCCTCCCTTTCTCAGCCACTCGCACACTGGGCTGGCATGGCCCGGCCACTGACACTTTTCCCCTCAGGCCACTCATGATGCCACCTACCCCACCTCCCCTCCAGGGTAAAGCCACAGCCCAACATGCAAGCATCTGGCAGTGGGAGGAGGTTAAGGATAGTACAGATCCTCCTCATCTGTTACTCCTCACACTGCTGGTGGTACAGCTGGCACAGGGGTCCTGGCGGTAGCAGCAGCTGCAACAAGTCTTGCTGCCCTGCTTCTTGTGCCAGGTCCTGGTCCTTCTGTCTGCTGGCTCACAGAGGCAGCCCCTGGCCATACCAGTCCAGCCAGGCTGCAGCCCTGTGTCCACTGTGGGCACAGAAAATCTGAGTGAGGGCCATGTGCCCCCTCCCTGCTCCCCTGACACATTCCCACTGCCTATGCTCCCCACCTACAATACTTACCTAGAGGAGTTGCTCCCTATCAGGCTGCCTGGTTGCTACATGCATGTGTGCATACGCACACACGCATGTGGTAACCCCTGCTTGAATGGCGTCTTCCTGATCCCTCCAGCCCCTTGCAGACTGGAACTGTCAGCTTGCAAGGAAAAACTTGTGGTTTCCTGCTTTTTTTCCCCTTCTTTAAAAGAGAATATACGTATTTTTCCACAGCAAATAAAAAACCTGGATCCCTGTTGATCATTCAAGTACAGGATTTTATGGTCGTAATGCCCAAATCAAAATAATACATTTTTTCAAGAAATAGTTTCCCACTGTTTTCAGCTATTCATAGACAATCAATAAATATGCTATAAAAATCAAAGGGAGTTAGGCATCTAACCAGCTTTTGCATTTTTAAAGGCCTCGTAGAGACATTCAGTTTCTCCTGGGAGTGTTGCTGCTCTCCCAGGAGAAACCATGAGTATATAGATATTCAGGCTTTTTTCTCCCCCAGAGTAAAAATGGCCACTCCAGGAGAAAAATAATTTGGGAATAACCAGAAGTAAATCACTCCTGGAAGAGTTTTTTCTGGGACAGCAAACATCTGTACATGCTATGGCTTCTCTCAGAAGACAGCTTGGTCCTCAAGCATGCCCCATCCTACCAGGGAAACAGTGTGTCACTTGCTGGATTGGGCTGCTCCAACAGGGAGGAAAACACCCCCCTTCATAATCTCCATTGTACTGTAAGGAAGCACAGGCTGACCATGGTAAGCCTGGGTCAGGCAATCAGGGCTCCCATCTGTTGCCAGGCAGGTTAAGGGAGCCTATAGAGCATGCCAAGATGTGTGAACTGGACCCCACTCTGGCTGCAGTGTCAACACTGCAAGCTTTCCACTTGTCAGGGCCTCAGAATTCAAATGTCTATACATGTGGCCCTAGGTAAGAATTCTACCAGAACAAACCTGGGAGAATTCCTCCAAACTATTTGAATGTGTGTATCTAACCTAAAAATCCTGTGGCTGCCCATCTGCATCTTTAAGCAACTAAATAAATTTGAAATTCTGTTCCATAACAAATCAGAAATAATTCATTGCTTCATTAAATTTGATACTTAAGTTCATCACAACCTGTTAAGCATTTTAAACTATTTTTCCTTTAAATAACTTTTTTCAACCAAAAATAAAGTTGTTTTTTTTAAAGTTGATTCCACATTCTGTTCAAGTACATCTAGACACAAAAGTGCCCAATAAAATAAACCCCCTAATAAATAAGAAAAGTGTCATTCACCATTTTCTACCATAATAAAAAGATAAAAATTAAGGAACCGAGAACACATTTATTAGCCTAAATAACGACTTACAAGAAATGCATGCAACAATCTTGCTAATTTTGGTTAGCAAGAAAAAAATACTGTAGGATTTAGTGTAAGGCTGCATTTGGTTGCAAATCAATGTATTTTAATAGAGTTGTTGATCCAGCGGCTGTTCCAATTATACAGGTGGCCCAATTCAAAGCTTTAAAAAGCATCTCCTGTTACTTGTTTAATTCAGGATCTAACAAGATGATTTTAAAACACTTTGATACAAATCAGTTGAGCCTCACTGGCTGTTTTAAAGGTTATAACAATTCATATCTGAATATGATTAATACAAAAAGGTAAAACTGCAAAGGAAGTTAAGCAACCTCTCTAGCTCAGAAATGTACTCCAATAACAGCCACTCTAATGAAATTCCTCAGTATTTTGTTGTTCTGACATCTTTACAGCAATTTACAATGCTGGATCATGACCAGGTTATGACCAGGTTGATTACCAACAGAACAGCTTTTTGCTTCCATGCTCCCAACTGCCCAGAATTCCTCTAAGACCTTTGTATAGCCAGCAACAGTAAGAACATTTTTATAGCAACAATTATATTTTATTTTAAGTCTATTCAAGCTTCCCCATAATGTTTTATATTAATTATTAAAAGCCCATTTGGAAGAAGTCATTCTTTGACATGCAGACCAATTGAAAGTAAATGGTCAAAAATGGCTTGAACTAAAAAAAGAGAGAGATTATATGCTTGTAGTTTGGTCTTACATTTTTTTTTTTTTTTAACAGTATTTTGGACTATTACAATATCTACTTGAGAGATTAATATTGATAATTTAGACACATGATCTAAAGGGAAAAGTGAGCTTTCTATACCTATCACCCATACAAGTCTTTTATTCTTATCCTAATTTTTTCACCCATCTTTAAATCAAACTAAAAATATCTAAGCTTCGGGCAACGAAGAAAAATACTCCTCTGAACAGCTTTTTCTTCATAAACCATCATGCTGTCAAATTAAGTGACAGTCACCCCTTACAACAGCTGACACCACCACAGGAGCCCTGTTAACATGCGCATTAGGGCAGACTGATTAGTTTAATTGGCAGTCATGCTAAAAACCTGCATAGGATCTGATGCTGAGTGAATCATCTCCTCCAGTGATATTCAGCAGTTTGAATACAACAGTGCAATTGCACACCCTAAATGTCACCTCTTTTATTCTTTAAACTTGCATCATCAGGTGACCTCTTCACTTTATGTTTCTTTAATCTGTCTGTTTTAAGGTCGTATGTTGGCTTTACTTTTCTCCTTACCTTATTTAGCCACATCTCAAACTGAATTTTGTTGGAGTCTGATAATGTAGTAAGGAATAAATCTGAAATGATAAAATAAATTTTTTTTAAATATGTGATTATACACATGCCCATAAGTAGAATACCTATTAGCATAATTTGATTTAAAATGCATAGATTTGAGTACATGAATACGTTTTGATTGCACAAATTAACATTCATCAAAACAATGTAAAAAGAAAACTATTTTTCTCCCTTGTTCTCTACCTAGATATACAACCACAAACACTCTTGCCTTACAATAAGAGAACACCCTGAACAAACAGGCGAATCCTTTACGTGAAATTTTTAAGTGATTATGTCAGCATAATGGCAAATGCATTTAGTGCATAAAAATGCAAGACTTGAAAATGATGACTCACTTCATCAGAATGTTAAACCTCTGCTAATCTTCATGCGTTTTAAGTTGAAAGTCAACTAATATCTGAAATTGTAATGCTTTGTCAAAAGGGCTCCTTTTCTTTTTTAAGATATTATGTAGCTTAGAAAAGAGAATTACAACATAGCAATGTTTAATTTTGTCTATGGAATAGAGTTTATATGCAGGTACTGAACATGACTTAATATGAAATCAGAAAACATTACACTGGCAAAAGTCCAGAAAAGCAAAAGAGAATCAGAGTTGTTGTGAGCTTCAAGGATACTGGTTGTAGCCGTGTTGGTCTAAAGGCATTGGAAGACAACTCTTGGGGTAGAGGCGATATCTTTTACTAGACAAGCTAGATAGTTGCAATATTTTTCTTTATTTGCAAGCTTTTGGGCCCAAACATCGTTTGTCAGGCAGAGGAGAATTCAAAGATTGTAACATTTCGTTTCTACCTGGGAGAAATTTATTGCAGAGCAGAACTAAAAGAAGGTATGGTTCTCCTGGGTAGGAAAGTTCATTTGTGAAAAAGCTGCTCTGGGTATGCAAATTAGGTTCAAACAAAGGCTTGAACCAGTTGTTTACCTCAAGGTCCAATGGCAGAAAGGATGCTTAATGTTACTTCTTCCTTAAGTTGTGAATTTTTCATTTCAAAACAGCCAATTACAATATCTTCCATGCTTCAGGGACGCTGGCTGTAGCTGTGTTGGTCTAAAGCAGGGGTGGGCAAACTGGCTGATTTGGCCAGCAGCCAACTTTATTTCCCAGCCACCCCTGTGCATGGCTGGGGCCGGTCTCCATGGAAACCAGCCACAGCCACGCTGGCAACGTGCGCGGCAGAGCAGGTCAGAGGGCTGCTCCGTAGCTGCTGAGATCTTGCAATGGGGGCAGCTTGCTCTGAAGCCAGGGCACAGCCATGATCTATAGCCTGTATGCTCTGGGCAGGGGTGCACAAGCAGGGAATCACAGCTCTGCCCTGGTTCCTTGTAGCAGTGACAGCTGCGATGGTCTGAAGCAGGGGCACAGCCGTGATCCCTTGCTTGCATGGCCTTGCCCAGAGCATGCAGGCTACAGATAGAGGCTCTGCCCTGACTCCAGAGCAAGCTGCTCTCATCTTAAATTCCTGGCAGCTCCAGAGCAGCCCCCTGCCCTGCTCTGCCATCCGCCCTGCCAGTGTGGCTGCAGCTGGTCTCCATGGCAACCACAGCCTTGAACTTTCCCATGCACCTGCAGCTGGGGTCTCCATGGAGACCAGCCCCACCCACGCGCAGAGGTGGCTGGCAAATGGAGTCCACTGACAACCAGATCCCACCCATGGGCCAAACTTTGCCAGTCCCTGGTCTAAAGGCATAGGCAGACAACATTTTTGAGGTAGAGACGATATCTTTTATTAGACCAAGCAGATAGTTGCAAACATTTTTTTTTCTCTTTATTTGCAATGTTTCAGGCCCAAAACACCCTTTGTCAGGTAAAGGAGAATTCAGAGATTGTAAAATTTCTCCCAGGTAGAAACGAAACTTCATATTGCACAGGAGAACTTAAAGATGGTATGGTTCTCCTTGGTAGGAAAGTTCAATTGTAAAGAAGTCTGCATGCTCACAAAAGCAGCCTTTTCACAAATGAACTTTACCACCCAGGAGAACCACAGCATCCTCTTTTAGTTCTCCTGTGTAACATGAGAAACTTAACAAGAAAGAAGCAAAATTCAGTAACCTGCATGCCATCGGACAACTGAGGTAGACAACCTGCTCCATCCTTTGTTTGAGCCTAATTTGCATACTCGCAGAGCAGCTTTTTTACAACTGAACTTTCTTCCCCAAGAGAACCATATCATCTTTCAGTTCTCCTGTGCAATATTAAGTTTAATTTCTACCTGGGAGAAATTTTACAATCTTTCACTTCCCCTTTGCATGACAAAGGGTGTTTGGCCCCAAAAGTTTGCAAATACAGACTTTTTTTTGAAGCTCAAGAATTTTGTCTGCCTTGTGAGCTTCAGTTCTCTTATTCAGCAGCTAACAGGTACAGTGCATGACCAGCCCAATCCAACTCCCACTAAAAGCAGCAAATCAGTGGAAACACTTAAGGAGTCAAATGGGGATTCTCAGAAGAGGAAGGGAATGACCTTAACAAACAAGCCCACATAGGTCCTGTTCACATTACTGCTTTTAATAAACTTTTTAACTAATTACCAACAATGTTGGTTAAATGCTGTTTGCATCTGCACTCTACTTTGCTAATATCTGATTAGTAACCCATGCTATTTCACCTTTAACAGGTCAGAAGGCAGAGTAAAGATGCACCTTTATAGACTAAACTAGCTAACTGCCCATCAAGAATGATGGGGGGGAGGGGGGGCGGCTGGGGACGAAGGTCTGCATCCAGCCCCGCCCCCCTCACCTTCACGGCCAGGCCCACTCCCCCTCTCCCCGCCACTGCTCCGGGGATGGGGCCAGGCCAGGGCCAGGCTGCCCTCCTCCCATTCTGCTGGCCCTGACCCCTGCCAGGGGGTGGGGTGGAGACAAAGGCCCTTGGCCAGACTCACTCCCCCCACCCTTGCCCCTGGCACTTTGGGGCCAGGGCCACTCCCCCCACCTGAGGGGCTGGCAGGGACGCCCCTGCTCCCCTCATCCATCCCCACCCCCCTTGCTGTGGCAACCCCAACCCCCTTCCCTCCCCCTCACGCCACCACTGCCTCCTCCACGGAGCAGACGGGTGCTCCCTTTCCCCCCCTCCCCCGACTCTGCCATGGGGCTGGGCCTGGCCTCCCCACCTCCCCGCCAACGTCTGCTCTGCTGCCTTCCCCTGTGTCCCCATCATCATGGCGGTGCTCCATTGCACCACCACCTCCTGTCCAAAAGCTCTATTCATACTCTGACTGGTTGTTTCCGTCAGCCAATCAGAGTGCAAATAAAGTGTTATGTACAGACAGACTACAGTTTTTATAATATTAAAATAAGACATAACAAAAACAACAAGCTTTTGTGAACCCCAGTTCATCTCTCTCTGCCTCCCGCTCCCTGGGTGCGTCTACATGAACCGCCCACTGCGCAGTTGTTACTGAGCAGTCATTTAGTACTTGCATAACCGGTGTTACTGCGCAGTAACATCCCAGCATAGTTGCCTAGTGACGCTTACTGCACAGTAACTTGTTATTACTACACAGTAGCATTGTGTCATGGTTTGTAATGTGCTACTGTGCAGTAGGCATCTCGGGTAGATATGGTCTCTCATTAAGTTAATCTACAAAGATACCCATCTACCCTGCCTTCTGACCGACTTCACACTAACATGGCTAACTTTCTCTCACCTTTAACATATACCATATTAGTCTTTATAACCTGGTTGGCATTTTTTAGTATAGTTAAAACTTTTTACTGAAGCCAATCAACCCAGTTCTCCTTCACCAAAACTGCAGCACATCTGAAAGTGTTATACCGCTGCTATTGGTAAAGGTTTTGGTGCATATGTTTCAGGACTATTGCCAATACTGTGACAAAATGGGATAACTGCCAACACAAACAGTCCAACTGCTACTATGAGGCTGAAAAGCTACATGGTGGAACCAAACAAAACCATTTGTTACAAATGGGTTAAAGTAACTGTGTTGCTATTTTTGTAATAACCCTCACGTAGATAAAGCTAGATTCAACAGTCAGATTTATAAATTATGAATTATATCTAAGGATGCTATTTAGTTCTTTTTTTTTTTTAATTTAAGTTATATATTTGTTCATTTTTAAAGTAGCACTAGATTTTCACATTTAAAACAGTAACAAAATAATTTTAAAATATGTAATGAAATAGCGTAGTTCTGCATTAAAAAATGACTATCACCTTTGATAACATTATAAGATTAAACCACAATTTCTTGAACTTTTTTGGTTTAAAAAAAAAGGAGAAAAATGCTGCTGTGTGGATATATAGAGCAAATGACCTATGGTAGATAAACAGAGATAGCAAAGATGGAGTGCCCTTACTAAAATTCTTAGAAATTATACTAACAGTACTGAGAATTTAAGTGTAATAAAAGTTACACATCTCTCTTCCTTTGAATCTTTTATAAGTGCTTATATATGCCTTTTTACAGCATCATTGCCTTAACACAAACCACATACTTCCATTATATATAATTGTATATTCACAAACAGGAGGGAAATAATGAATCTGTAAAAGCCTTCTGAATACAATTCTAAGAACACACTCACTAGCATGAAAATTAAGGATCTACTCAATGTGTGGCTGACTCCCCCAAAAGGATGTGAAAATCTCTTTGACAAAATTAAAGTCAAACACTTAGATTTTTGATAAACAAACATGAATGCCCCTTATACCATTTCATATTTTAATATATCAACCTAACAGAAACTATTCAGAGAAAACAACCGGTCTGCATCCAGCCTGCAGACCGGTACCCCATGGTTGTCGTCCATGTGGGTACGAACGACGCGGCAAGAGGCAACCCTGACCGTATTATGAGGGACTTTGAGGCTCTGGGGACCAGGCTGAAGGAGACGGGGGCGCAGGTGGTTTTTTCCTCTCTCCTTCCGGTGAGGGGGCGGGGACAGAGGCATGGGGCCTGCATTGGTGAGGTCAACCAGCGCTTACGCAGCTGGTGCCGCCGGGCAGGCCTTGGGTTCCTTGACAACGACCCATGCTTTC